CGAAAAGGGAAGCCCTCTCCTGGCCGGAGAGCGTCTTTGGCCTCCAGCCGAGCCTGTCTTCGAGATCTCCCGATCCGAGAAACGCCTTCCGAGAGCGGTCCCAGATTCCAAGAACCGGATCGTATCCTGAGAGTCCCACCCTAGGCTGCAGCCTGCGATGCCAAACTCCCATATCTCGAAGAAAGACGTTAGTGCTGTCTACCTCCCTACTCTGGGCGCCAGACCTCGCACTCAGCGAGGCAAGGAGGTCGGGATCCTCGTGGGCCCTCATGCTCGTGCCGTTCAGGCCGGCTCCTGTGATCCCGACGCGCCCGGGGACGACGGCGCCGAAGAGGCCTGCTGCTGCATCCGGGACATCATCATCGCGATCCTCATCATCTCCTCGTCGCTCAGGCCCTGGCGCGGTTGGCGCATCACCTCGGATACCCTCTGGTAGACCCTCTCGTTCTGCACGCGCTGCTGCTCGATCACCACCGTCATGTCCGCGAGGGCCCGCATCATCTCGGCAGTCGTCATCGGCCTTGTCCCCGGCGGCGCCTTGGCCGGCACGCTCTGCGCCTTCGCCGGAGGGGGGTGCTTCACGGGAACGTAGCCCTCGGCCGCATTCACGTAGAGGGCCATCGGCACGGCCATCTCCTTGACCGTCGGGACTTCCGCCTTGACCCCCACTATCTCGCGGCCCCGGCCCTCGTGAAGCCAGAGTTGCTCGCTCACTGGGTCGAGACGCTTCTTCACCTGCGTAGGCTGCGGCGTCCACGGGTCTGTCTCGCCCGCCCCCTCGAGAGCCTGTGCGTACTCCTCGAGCTCCTTGGCCACTATCTGCTTCACCTCTCGGCGTGTCTGCGCCGCCTTTGCCTTCACCAGCTTCTTCTTGGCAGCCTCGATCTTCTCCTCGGGCGTCTTCTTGTGGTAGGCGATGCGTGTGTCGCACCTGCGGCAGTACGTGTAAGCGGCGTGCGCATTCGCTCCTGACCACTGGGCCCACGGCGGGCGCGGGCACTCCTCTGGATTCGCCTCGCCGCGCTGCAGGAGGTGAGGGACCATGCCTGAAACCGAGCGCATGTTCTCCGTCGCCGTCACCGAGCCCATCAGCTTCAGGAACATCGAACGCCACCGAGCGCTCGCCGGGCCGAGACGAAGCTGGCCGGCCAGGAACAGGTCCTTCTCGTGCTCCGTCATCTCCTCTGCCTGTAGCATCTCCGCGATCTGCATCGCCATGTAGTCGTCCTGCTCCTCGTCCGTCGCGGAGGCCTCTGCGCCGAGCTTCTCCCAGGGACTGGTGTCCTCCGGGTCGCTGACCTCGCCCTCTGGCACACTGTGGAGACGGCGCCTCCCCGGGCTCTCTGACGCCTCGCGCCTCTTGTTGATCGTCTTGCGCGAGCGAGCGGCGGACGACGCCATCACTCTCGTCGAGAGACTGCCGCGGGGAGAAAGAAGCTAGCCTCGCTCGAGCCTGAGGGGCTACGGATCCGCTTGAGTCAAGCCTGCTGCCCCCAGTAGCGAGTCCCCTTGGAGCGCGATTATCTTCGACGGGCCCCCGGAGCTCCCGGGAGGAGAGAGAAGGAGGAGACTGCTCTAGGAGGCACACGCTCGCCTCCGACTGCACCCTACCCTCATCACCCACCCTCAGGTCCTGAACCACTGGCGGGAAGCACTCCTCCGGCACGGACGCGCGGACCGAGTGGGACACCTCGAAGTGCTTCGCGTCGCCGAAGATGAGGCTGACCGAGCGGTGCCCCGATGGGCGCCTGAACAGAGGCCTAGACGCCCGGGTCTCTCCCTCGTCGACCTCGAGCGCGCCCGCCCTGAGGTCGATCACGGCGCCCATCAACTCCAGCAGCCTCGCTGGAAGAAGCGGAGGGCACCGATGAGGAATGACGAGAAACTCCACGAAGCCATAGTTCGCGATCGAGATCGGCACCCATGCCTTGCCGATCGGCTCGGTCTTGCCGCCAATCCCGCTCGCCGTCTGGCCTGTCACCCCGCCCATCTCGTAGTGCACGCGGTAGCCCCTCTTCTGAAACGCCGCCACGAGTATCTCAAGATCCTCTCTGCCGATCAGCGCCTGGCCGGCCGCGGTGTCCACCAGGGCGTGCTCCATCATCGAGCGCAGCGAGATGTTCACCGGGCCCTGCTGGATGTCCTTGATGATGCCGGTCCAGGCCTCCACGGTGCTGGCTTCGAAGAAGTCCAAGTGTCGCTCGAAGTCCGGGGGTTCGCCGTCGTTCTGAAAGAAATACGATCTCGGAGCTCCAGTCGTGTCCTTACCCTCGGCAGCTAGCCTATCTTGCTTAGATCGAAACGGCTTGCGGCACGACTCGGCCCAGTGCCCCTTCTCACCACAGTTCGCGCACCGAGACCGCCGCTTCAAGTCTCCAGACGCGATGCGCTTGTACCCCGGGCGAGCAGCTCTCCTCTTGTCGAAGAAGTCTCGCTCGATCTTCTTGCTTGCCTTCATCTTGCGCGCCTCTGCCCAGGATCTCCGTTTGTCCTTCCCCAACTTCTCCTCGATCACGGCCGCGAGGACGACCATGAGCTCCTCCTCGGGGAGCTCCTGCTCCTCGAGGGCCGAGAGGAAGGTCTCCGCCTCGGCCTCGGGCAGCTCGAACGCGTCGTCCGGTGGATCCGAGAAGTAGGAGTCCACGTCGACTGAGACCTGCCTCGGGGGGGGAGGAGCATCTTCCACGTCAGCCTCCACGTAGGACTTCGACCCCGTGCTCGTGCTAGTCATCGTCGGAATCACGCTCTTCTCCCGGGTGTCGAGCTTCAACAAAGCCTCACGAATGGATCTGAAGTCAGTCAACCCTCCTGCCAGAGTACGCATGTTCATCTTATTCTGCGCCGTCAAGTTAGCTCCTTCTTCCAAATATCTCGCTAGAACATTATCTGGCAGTGTGAGTCCATGTGCTTCTGCCTCGGCAATCTGGACATCTCGACGGAGAACATAATCTGTGATCGACTCGCCCCTGTGGAGCGCGAAGTCAAATAGTGCTGCTGACTGCGCTTCCCTCTGTCTGTCACCGGGGCGCTCTCCGTTTAGAATGGCCAAGTGTTTGACAATCTTATCTACTCCATCGATATCGTCGAGTGTGCCCCTGATCGCTCTGAACTTTTGCTGGACGTCCACCGGGAAGCTCTCGAGCACCTTGCCTGCACGCACCTCTGGTCGATACCCTGTCCTGCCAGCCCAGCTCGTCAGGTTCAAGCGGTAGAGCTCAAGATGCTCGAACCCGAGCCAAAGCGGTGGTGGTCCGTAGTCTCTGCTCGCTGGAACTTCCCACCTGCTGGCACCCCACGGCTCATTGGCCCAGGCTGCTGGCTCCTCGTGCCAGCGTCCGCCTGAGCCGCTGGCCCAGGCTTCTCCTCGAGCGCCCGCCGCAGTGCCATGAGTGTAGCTATCCCACGCTTCACTCCAGCTGCGGCTCCTCGATGCCCACGCTTCCTCGTCGCCGTCGTTGGCGACCCACGTCCAGCGCCACCAGCCCGAGGGAGAGGAGTATCCGTGGGCCTCTTTCGCCTGCCTCATGGGCTCCTCCCAGGCGTCCTGGACGCCCTCCTCGGTCTGGATCGCCACACTACGATGCACTTATTCCTGCTGCTGTGCTGTGCCGCGCGTCGCCATGAATGTCCCTCCCGTAGGAGTCCCCTCGTCTCTTTCGCCACCAGCTCCGCTACCACTGTCTCACCATCGCAGGGCATGCTGGGGTCCGGGGTCGACGAGACGGGGGCCTCTTTTAGGACACATGAGCGCTACAGCACACAAGCATCAAAGCCAAAGCGGCTATACACGGGCCGAGCAAGAGAGGCGGAGGTACGAAGAGGAAAGACAGGGGGCCCATCCAAGTCGCACTTAGGGGTAGGGGGGACACTCCTCCTCCTCCTCCTCCTCCTCCTCCTCCTCCTCCTCCTTCCTCCTCCTCCTCCTCCTCCTCCTCCTCCCCCCTCCATCCATCCATCCATCCATCCATCCATCCATCCATCCATCCATCCATCCACTCCTTACAAAGAACTCCTCCCTGTCGCATCCCCAAAGAGGCCGGTAGGGCTGGCCGGGCGTTTCGCCTGAGACTGCCTCACCATCTATGGCTGAAAATTGCAGCAGATTCACAGACGGACGGCGAGTGGTTCGCAAAATGTGGCTGTCGCCTCAGCGCCGCGCACATTAACCTTACAAGTTTGCAACAGGGATGGAGACAGGTGGTTTGAAAATGTGGCTCGTCTTAGAGCCGCGCACATTCTTCTTTAAGAGTTTGCCATGGTTTGAACGATCGAGGGGGGTTCCTATTCAAAATGTGGCTCTCGCCTTAGCGCCGCGCAAATTAATCCTCAAAGTCTGCAGCAGATTCAGGGCTGGAGGCTGGCTCCTTTTCAAAGTGTGATTCTCGCCTTGGCGTCGCGCACGTTCATCTTAAAAGGTTGCAACAGGTTCAAAGATTAGTAATGATGGCTGAAGTCCCAGGGATGGCGTTCTGGCACGATTGGGGATTGTCAAGACGGACAAATCATGTTGAACCGCGACGCTGAAGACCCAAGAACTGCGTTTTGGCACGATTGAGAACTCTTAGACGGTTGTCCTCCAATGACGCACGTCCCGCAACGAAAATAAATTATTGCGGGTGCCTGTGAAGAGGGAACTTCGAAGGAGTGCATATTGAAACATCGTTGGTGCGCATTGGGTTTACACTGGTCCTCCTCCTACTACTACTACGACCCCACTCGCGCCACAAGTTCAATCTCTACTCACCTCAGGGCGCTGGGCAACTCTACACTACTAGAGCTAGGCTTTCCAGGAACGGTTCAGCTTCGCGGAAGGCCTCACAGAGGCCGAAAGCACACGAAGGCGGAACGCCGCCCGAAGGCGGGCAGGCCAGGCAAGGCAGGCAGACAGCGCTACCCACCCTGCCCACGCCCGCGGGGCCGAGTCCGCGTCGAAGCTGAGCCGTTCCCAGAAGACCCAGCCCCCCGCCCCCCGACGGCCCGCGCGGGCCGAGGCGTCGCGCCTATTCTTTCTTCTTGCCCAGCAGCTGCTTGGGCATCTCCCCGCGAGGAACCTTGCCCGCCTTCTTGACGCCGCCCATCGCGCGGAGGAGGATTCCCATCAGGTGCATCAGCTCCACGGTCTTCTGCTTGTCGCCAAGGCGGACCAGCTCGAGCGGCGTCCGCTGAAGGCTCGCCTCGTAGGCGGGATCGGTCGGCGCTCCTCCCCAAGCTGCCTTCTGCTGCTCGGTGTACTCGTCGTCGGCCTCCTTCGTGCTGCACACCACGACGCTGCCGCGCAGGCACATCGCGAGCCTGATCTTCTTCGTGTCGTACATCGGACTGTACGTAAAGTCCTTGATCCATTCTCCCGCGTCGCTCTCGTTGCCATGCTGCAGCATCAACGCCAGACGGGCGGGCACACCCTTGAACCGCTGGAGCTGTGGGGAGCTTTCCGCTTGCAACCAGTTCTCGATATCTTTGAGAGCCGCTGAAAATAGCTGGAGTTCGGGCGGCCCCCTTTGGTGCTTGGGGCCCTCCTCTTTCGTCACTTTGAGATACTCTTGGTACTTCTGCTGACCGTTCTTCACCAGGACCGATTCGGCTGGCATGTGAATCTGCACTGCGTTGCCGCACTCCACTGCCCGCATCCTCGCCTCGAGCTGCACCACCATCTTGCGCACCAGCACGTCCTCTGAGTCCTGCGACTTGTGCTTCTTGGGCGGCACGTTGGGGGCGGGCTCGACGGTGGCGGGCAGCAACCAACTCATGAGTGTCAAACTCAATCTCGTGCTCACCAAGATGTGGCGCCAGGTGTGCCGTAAGAATGTGTTGCCGTAGCGTTTGAGCCTCCTCGGCTTCATACGGGCATAGTCGACACTTCGTAGTTTCGAGTCTGATAATACTGCTCGATCTTGCTCGGTCCCGACATATACCCTGCTCGTACGCTCTCGTCATGTGCTTCTGTGCCTGCGCATATGTCGAAAAAACTACTCCACATACAGTGCATTGATTGCTGATACAACATACTCGGAATAAAATCTGCTTCCCGTGCGCGCCTCCTCGAGTGTGTGCGTAATGTGACGCAAGCCGAACTCGATCAGGGAATGAGACCATGCAAGGGTTCCCGTTTTCGTCCTCCGCCCAACATTGATATTCTCCTCCCTCCAGTCGTTCAGGTCGATCGGGCTCGAACCTACGTCGATTGTGAACGAAGTGAGCCCTGAGCCCCAAGAGGTCCAGCTGGATGAAATCCTCCCTGCCCTCCAGAATCGCTCGAACGGGTTGCCTATCATACCTATCCAGAAACACCTCCCCGTCGTCGTAAACCTCTAAGCTCAATATATCTTGGAGCCACTGGCGGGCCCACGGATTGGCGTCCTTCCAGTTGTCGTCCCGAACGGTCTCCTGCGATTTCTGGGAGGCTCTGATAGAGCCAAACACTACACCTAACACCTGGTCCGCGACGCTCAGGTTCGATAACAACTGTTGAAGCCACTTGAGCCTCCGAATCCTGGCCTCGACGAACAAGCTGGCCGACCCTAGCTTCACCATCACCTCGAGATTCGTCAGCGAACGAACACTGCCGTCTTGCCTAGTAGTCGAGACCCCTCCGAAGATGACTCTCCCCCTTCTGGCGATAAACGATTCCATGCTCTGAAAATCTGACACTTTCATCGGACCATCTTTTTTCACGAACGTCTCGATGCCCGTCATCATGGCATTAATTACGTATCCTTTGTAGATACTCACCTTCCATTTCTGCGATACATTGGACGTCCAGAAGTTGCCCATGGAGCCCCATGCCGCCTTCGCGGCGATAAACCGATATCCTATCTCCACTGAAATAGCGAACCGTGCCGTGAGCCGCACCCCGAGGTATCGTGCTGTCGCTGCTGCATGTCCTTCAAGCACGGTGTCCTGGAGAATCTCGCGCTCGAGCTTGTACGCACCCACCCCGCAGCAATAAGGGACAGTCTCTTGCTTCGCCACGTTCTGCTCAAGTCCCATCTCTCCCAGCCTCTGTGTTACAGCGCCATTCTGCACTCGTCCCTCACGAGTTGCGGCCTGCCTGTTCTCGAATTTGAACATATCCGCCACGTCGTCGACGAACAACGTTAGTGCTGCCTGTTCTCGCTGACCCGTCCATGGGGACATCACCTCCACGTGGTTAATCTCATCCTGGGCGTAGCTCTCGAGCCCTCGCGCGTACGCCATGACGAAGAGGAAAACCATGATCGGGTCGCCTGGCATACACCCCTCGTGCATCAACAGCATGTGAGGCGAGCCCTCGAATACAAAATGTGCCCATCGAATACGATCTAGCATCATTGTGATATGACGCTCGTCCAAGTGCTGCAAGACAATCTGATCGAGCCTGCCCGTCTTGATCGAAAAAAACGCATTGGTGGCGTCGTGCAGCCTCCTCGCGTGCTGGACCCCCATCTTCTGCATACGCCACGCCCCGCACGACTGCACGACGACTGCTCCCTCGCGCCTACGGGACCGGAGCGCTCCGTAAGCCCAGCTCGGGATGTCCTCCATCAAGGCCTTCTTAAGCATGTGTCTGTAGTGGAACTTAGCTATAGTACATATCACCATGACCACTCTCTCGCCGTCGACCCCTTCCTTCTCGTTACCCTTCGGAATTGGGGCTGCCTTCGCTCGAAGCCAAGCCAGTGGTAACCTCTGCGTAAAAAGAATTGCCTCCACCATCGCTCGAAGGAAGAAGTAAAACTGGGGCGTCTGTAGCTGCTCAACTTCTGGTACGTGTCCTAAGCCGTGACGTCGTGCTACCATCCGCTTGTTAGTCCATTTCGGGAACATCATACATCTCAATAACTCTACACTCGAACTCCATGAAGGTGAAGATCGCCACAATCTTGCCTTCCACGCTGCTGACACGATACCTTGGATCTCGTCGTTGATCTCCTCCCTGGTGTACTCCACTCTGGTGGCTGGTTCGCGAGCTTGCCGAATCTGCTGCTCTGTGCGAATCTCAGCGGAGCATCCACCACTAGGGCCTGCCTTCTGCATCTTCTCGATCCATGAGGTGACGTCGCCAGCGATCCGATGCCGTCCAAAGACTCGTTTTCGCCCTCCTCGATTACGTTGCGCCAATAATCGTGCCATCTTGTGAACCTGATGAAAATCGTTAGCCTTCACCGCTCTCATAAGCTCGTCGCACCTCAGCGCCGTGACCTCGCGCCAGTACTGCTGCTTCTGCTTGGTCAACCATTTGCTCAAGAGCTTGAGCCGCTGCATCAGGATCGTGCTGTCGATGATGCGCTGGATCTGAGATACTTCGAGTCCCATTGCAACCAGTTCTCGATATCTTTCAGAGCCAAGAAAACTGCTAGCCATCTGGATCCACTCCTCGATCGTGACCAGCTCTGGGTTCATATTCAGCTCAGATAGGAGAATCCCACCATTGACAATCTGGCCTGGGATCTCCTGCAGGTACTCTTGCGTCCAGCCCACGTAGTGCGATAAATGGGCAAAATGCTCTCGCACTTCTCGCCGTTGTCGAAGTAGTTGCCGTACCTCTCGAGCATGAGCTTTGTGATTCTCCGTATATCCGAAAGACTCTGAACAACAAACTTCTGCTGCTGCTCTGATCGCCTCATGGATCACCGCGTTGGCGTAGTCGGGCCGCTCCTCCAGGCCTTTGCTGGACAAGTCGTTCCGCTTACTTCTCAGGTACTGCTCAACTCTTCCAACAAATTCAGCTCGCCTATGTCCCAGTTGCAGCATGCGCGCCACCGTCTCTTTGTCGATGGTGACCTGCGAAGTCGGGCTGTACGGCTCCGCGATGACGCGCAAATCGAAGCATGCCGCCAAAGGAACATGATCCCATAAGCCACTCAAGTTGTGCAGCTGCAATTTCCATGCCGACCGTATCAGCGTCCTGCACCACATCGTAGACTTGTGCCACTCCTGCGGAATGCAAATATAGTCAAGCGTCTTGGCCACCCCTTTGTTGTAGTACGTGGGGCCCGCCTGACTGTAGTATGTGTTGATCGCTCGCATCTGGTGTGCGGCGAGCAAGGCCGACATGAGCTCGCTCGTGCGCGTGAAGGTCCCCAGGTGGTGCTCGCCCGTCACCCCCTCCACCTCCGAGAACTGCGCGTTCAGATCCGTGAGGATGACGGGCGACCATCGGGCTCCTTGCGATCCCATGATGCCGTAGAGCCACTTGATCATGCAGTCGATGGTCCGCTCCCACTTCGCCTTGGCCTCGCGCCCGCGGCTGGGAACAGGGGGAAAATACATTAAGATCACCACCATTCTGAGAGAAGCTCGCTGTAGCCTGAATGCCCCAACTCGTCCACGCAAGCCTTTAGGTACTGCACTGAACCCTCGCAGACAACTTCGAGGAAACTTACGACCATTGATCCAAGCCGACACTCCGCAACTTCGGTTCACATGTGGGCTCGGCGCCCACCCCCACTCAATACTATAGAACTGGCCCTCCCTTCCCACTGCCCCAAGAAGATCCGTGCCTGCGGCGCGCTGCTGCGTGCCTATCAAGCCGATGATGTCCATGTTGCGAATCTCGTCGACGATATCCTGGGCGCGCTGGCGCCCCGCTGAGAGAGGATTATATGAACACAGCGCGACCCCTCCATGGGCCGCCTGAACCACATCGCTGGCTCCGAACCTCTCCTCTGGCAAGGGTTCGAATGGCATGCAGAAGGTGGGCCGCGGGGGGAGCCCCCCCCATTTGAGAAGATGGCCACCTTGGTCCTCCTCCTCCTCCTCCTGCTTCTCCTCCTCCTCCTCCTCCTCCTCCGCCTCTTCCTCCTCCTCCCTGTCCTCCTCCTCCCTGTCCTCCTCCTCCTCCTCCTCCTCCTCCTCCTCCTCCACCTCCTCCTCCTCCTCCTCCTCCTCCTCCTCCACCTCCTCCTCCTCCTCCTCCTCCTCCTCCTCCTCCTCCTCCTCCTTGCCCCTTGGCCCTTTTTCCGTCGGCAGGAGCAGCGGTCCAGCCCCCTCCCCCGCGGCCGCCGCGAGTCGCCCGGACCGACGGGGGGGGGGGAAACGCTCCCGAGCCTCTGGGCGCCGCGAGCCGTGGGGCTCGGGGGAGCCTGCCGCGGAGCCAAAAGTGGCGCCAGCTTACGGTCCAGGCCCCGCCCCCGCGGCCGCCGCGAGTCGCCAGGACCGACGGGGGGGGGGGGGGGGGAAACGCTCCCCAGCCTCCTGGCGCCGCGAGCCGTGAGGCTCGGGGGAGCCTGCCGCGGAGCCAAAAGTGGCGCCAGCTGATGGTGGCGCGTGGCAGGAGGTGTGGGGGGGGGGAGGGGGGGGGGGAGGCGAGGTGGAGGCGGCCTCCGGAGAGGGCAGGGCGCTTTCACAGGGATGCACGCTGAGGGTGCAAGGGCCTCGGAGGCCCGTTCCGAGGCTCTTCGAGCGGGGCGCGGCGACGGACGGCGGCCAGCAACTTTTCCCCAGGGTGCATCCCTGGGGAAAGTTGCCCAGCACAGTCAGTTGGGCAACTTTCCCCAGGTGCACCCTGGGGAAAGCTGCCCATCCTGCCTGTGCGGGGTGACTGTACAGGCGGGTTTCTCCGCCTTCCGGGGTGGGGCGAAGGCGGGGGGCGGCCTCCTCGGAGGAGGGGTCAGAGGCCTCCGGAGGGGCCCCCTCGGGCGGCTGGAGACGCGCCCCCGCGGCCTCACGAGAGGGCCGCGCCCCCACGCGCACCCGCCACCCGCGGCGCGTCGCCAGCCCAGCGCCCAGAGCTCCGGGCCTCGCGGAAGGCAAGCGAACAGACGAGCAGAGGAACCCAGCGCGAGCCCGAGTGTCCGGGGGGTCTGCTCTGCTTCCACGCACTGCAAAGCACCGCTTGGCACTGCTTCGCGTTGCTCGGTACCGGCTCAGCAGTCGCCTGCCATGGAATTGGCATTGCCTGGACACGCTGCTTGGCATTGCTTGGCACTGCGTGGATGCATTGCTTGACATTGTTTTGAAACTTTGCTTGGCATGAGCTTGGCATTGGTTTGGCATTGCTTGGCGGAGCTTCGCGGTGTTTGGCATTGCTTGGCATTGCTTGACCTTGCTGGGCATTGCTTGGTATTGGCTTGGCAGTGTTTGACATCGCTTGACATCGTTTGACATTGCTTGCAAACGTTGCCTGGCATTGCACTGAAACGCTGCTTTGCAGTGCTTGGCATGGCTTGTCATTGCTTTGCGTTGCTTGGCATTGCTTGGCGTTTCTTGGCAATTCTTGGCACTGCTTGGCAATGCTTGGCATTGCAGTAGCAAGGGGACCCAAGGAACAAGACCAAGGAACCCGAGGAACAAGACCGGGGAACCCGAGAACTGAAGGCAGGGAACAAGATCAGGGAACCGAGCAAGGACTTGGACACCCAAGCAATGAGACCAGGGAACCCGAGCAGGGCAGCAAGAAGACCAAGACCAGGGAACCGAACGAGGCAGGGGGCCGCCTCGGATGAGGAACGTCGCACCCACCTGTTTTTCCACATGAGCACAGCGCGACCTCGATTAGGGGAAAGCTTCCAATGTCACGGGCCATTGCGTGGCAATGCTCGGCATTGCTTGGCACTGCTTGGCATATTGATTGGCACTGCTGGGCATTGCTTGGTATCGCTTGGCATTGCGTGGCAATGCTTGGCATTGCTTGGCATTGCTTAGCACTGCTTGGCATTGCGTGGCATTGCGTGGCACTGCTTTGCATTGCTTAGTATTGCGTGGCATTACTGTGCATTGCTCGGCATTGCATGGCGAGGCAGCCAGGAACCAAGACCAAGGAACGAAGGAACCAAGACCAAGGAACGAAGGAAACCAGACCCAGCAACAAAGGAATCAAGACCAAGGAACCAGTAACCCAGAACAGGGAACCAAAGAACCAAGACCAAGGAACCAAGTGACCAAGACTAGGGAACGCAGGAACCAGGACCAGGGAACCAAGGAACCAAGACTAAGGAACCAAAGAACCAAAGAACCAAGACCAAGCAACCCGGGCTGGGCCTTGCAAAGAAACAAAACCAAAGAACCACCGGGGAACCCCCTTGAAAAGAAACAAGACCGAGGAACCCCGGCGCGACTGGGTCCGGCCCACACCAGTTTCTTCAAAAACACGTGTAAACCAGCGCGGACCCCGAACTATGACCTCTTGCAATCTATGCGGCGCAATCTAGGTGGTGGTGCAATCAATGTGGTGCAATCTGGGTGGTGCAATCCATGTGGTGCCAAGCAACGCAAGCCAATGCGAAGCAACGGAAAGCAATGCAAAGCAATGCAAAGCAATGCAAAGCAATGCAATGCAACGCAAAGCATTGCAACGCAACACAAAGCATTGCAAAGCAAATGCAAAGCAAGGCAAAGCGATGCAAAGCAAATGCAAAGCCATGCAAAGCGATGCACAGCAATGCAAAGCAGATGCAAAGCAAGGCAAAGCGATGCAAAGCAAATGCAAAGCAGTGCCAAGCAAGTGCAAAGCGGTGCAATGCCATGCAAAGCAATGCAAGGTCATGCAAAGCGATGCAATGCCATGCGAAGCCATGCAAAGTCATGCAGAGCGGTGCAGTGCCGTGCAAAAGTGCCACGCACTGCAAGGCGGTGCGATGCCGTGCGGAGCAGTGCAGAGCGGTGCCAAAAGCGATGCGATGCCGTGCGGCGACGGGCGGCGACGACCCCGCCGGACCGCCACCGGGGCCCACAGCGGCGACGGCGGCGACGGGCGGCCACGGGCCGGCCGGAGCGGCACCGGGGCCCGGCCACCGGAGACGAGAGGCAAGAGCCTCGAAGTGTAAGCACGGCTTGGGGGAATAAAGACCCCTCAGGCGAGGCCTGCAGGGCAGTTTTCGATACGTAGGATTTCTGACTATATATATGGAGGATCTGTACTGCATGATTAGTTCATGCATAAGATTATGCATGAACTCATCGTTGCTTTCGATACCGAATCCCTGCATGTTTCATACATGATCCGCACGCGGAGCATGTATTAAAAACGGCACTGTAGCAACCGGAGACGAGAAGCAAGAACCTCGAAGTGTAAGCACTGCCTGGGGAATAAAGACCCCTCAGGCGAGGCCTACTTGGGGAAGAGCAAAGAAGAATCCCTTAGGTAAAGCGTCCTTGGGGAAAAATGGCGGCCAGTGTCGGTCCGCCATTTCGGCCTCTGGGCGCAGTTTCTGGGCACTGGGACCATCAAACAACGATCCGCCTCGAAAAGCAGATCCTGCGGATGGGGTCGAGAGCGCTGGGGGACCAAATCGTGAAGAGATCGCGGCGCCAGTGATCTGGCCGTGCACCTAACACCGTGCAGGGATAGAGCAGCAATTTACGCAGATCTGCCGTGCGCCTAGCGTACGGCACGCTTCAGGTGGCCACCTCAGACGTAGGCCTGTCGCCAGGCACGCCACCAGTGTCTGGGGTGGGTTCTATCTTGTAGGACCAGGTCTCGTTTGAGAACAGCTGTGAGTAGGTCTGGAAGACAATGAGGGAGGTGCACGTAGACACGGCCATGACGCCGTCCCCAAACGCGATGGCTGCATCCTGGAAGGCCGCGCCTGTCGTCAAGGTCGAGAGCACCTGCATGCCTGCGGAGCACGCCCCACTCGGGCACCCACCCGGTACGCCCCACCTCTGCAGCACGCCGACCTGGTTGCCGACGTAGATGTCACCCGCTGAGTCCACCGCTGGTGCGGACCAGCTGTTCGGTGCGCACCTGGCGCGGCCGCCCATGGCCCGGCGGATGTCGTCACCCTCCTTGTCGCCAGCACAATCCGGCAACGCACCCCTTGGCACACTGAGGCGTGCTATGATGCCAAGTGCTGTCTGGCAGAGTTTCTGCCAGTCTTCAAGAACATCCAACAGAGAGGGAGGAGGAGGAGGAGGAGGAGGAGGAGGAGGAGGAGGAGGAGGAGGAGGAGAAGGAAAAGGAGGAGGACGAGGAGGGGGAGGAGGAGGAGGAGGAGGAGGAGGAGGAGGAGGAGGAGGAGGAGGAGGAAAAGGAAGGGACTACAGCCCTCTCGTCACGCCCTCCATGGGCGGCCCGACGCCTCCCTGGGGCTCTCCAACGCCTCTCGAGGCTTGCAGGCCGGCCCAGAAGGCCACCGCGGCCGCCCAGTTGGCCAGCATCGCCTCACGAGACACTCAATAGCCCCCAAGAAGACCCCAACAAGCGCCAGAAGGGAGCCCCCAGAGGCTTCCAGAAGACCAGAGGGGAATCCAAGAGGCGCTCCAAGAAGGCCAAATTCATTCAAGAGGGTATGGAAGGCCACAGGTTTTGAACAGCTGGGGGTTCATGTGCCTCTCGGCTGAGGAAGGTCACGAGAGGGCCTGGGACCTGGGAGGAGCCGAAGGAAGGCTGAGAGAGCGCAAGGAGGGCCCCAAGAAGCCTCCCAGGCGGCCCCCAATTCAAACGCGAGCTTTGAATGCTGGCCGACGCGCGAAACGCGGCCCACGGGGTCCGATGCTTGCTCGGGTCCTGGGGCGTCGCCACGTCGTGGGAGAAACTTGCGGTTGATTTCGAGGGGGGATGCAGGACAGCCGCAAGAGGTTCACAGACCGGCCCAAAAGAGGCCCATGACAGCCCGAGAGAGCCCAGAGCCCGTGGGTCCCACGAGGCCCCTGAGACAGCCCCAAGAGGCCCCACCAAGACGGCCGAGAAGGGCCCAAGATGGCGCAAGATCGCACGAGGACGGTCCAAGAAGCCCCCAAAGACGGCGCACGACGGTCCCACGACGACCCCAAGACGGCCAAGGTAGCCCCTTATGGGATACCCTCGAGTCCCTCGAGTCCCTCGAGTCCCTCGCGAAACGTCGCCACGCAGAGCTCTGTGCTGGCACGGTGGCGGATCTTTCCGCAGGCAGCTGGATAATTAGTCCACAAGGTTGGGCCGTCCCTCTCCCACCGAATCTTACCATCGTTCGGATCTATGGCCCAGATCTGGGAGGGGGAATTGTGGAAGCAATTGAAGCCCATGGTGAGCACGAGGCGGGTGTGCGCTAAATCGTGAATCATTCCGATGGAAGCGCCTGCTGGCGGCTCTGGCGTGGTCTGTTCCCAAATCTGCCTTCCGGAAGTGGCGTTGTAGCCGCGGACGAAGCCGGCGCCGCCAGGCCACGTCCAGCAATTGATAAGAATGCCAGGTGCTACGTAAGGGTTGCAGTATTTGCCTGTAGGAATGCCGAGAGCGTCAGACATGTGGTAATCCTGGACATTGTAGTGCTTCATGCCGATAGCAATCGCAATGTTGTGCCCCGGGTCGTATACAGCTGCTGCCAGGGTGTGCGACCCGTAGTCGCCTCCGACCCTGTATCTCTGGGCGCCAGTCTGCAAGTCAAGGCTGTACAGCCTGCCCTCCCAGTCCTGGAAAATAACGCTGCCGTCCGGGCCCCAAAGCGGGTTCATGTTCCACACAGGCGACATGGTCTTGTATTCCCAAATGGTGCTGCCGTCCAACGCACTCAGGCCCCGCACAAAGAGATTGCCGGGAGTGAACACATTGGTCTGGTTGCGGTATCTGTAGCAGTACCGGTCAGTGCAGCGATTGGTTGCGGCCACTACGACACCGTCCTTGGAAGCCACTGAACCCTTGACGCCAGAGATCTCATTCGAGGCCCAGGTTGCCCACAGCTCCTCTCCGCTCTCGATGTCGATCGCGAACACGTAGCCAGAGGTGGTGCTCCCTACTATGATGGGGGCGTTTGCCTTGGCCTTCTTCGGCGCCACGCGCTCGAAGCGGCTATTCATGGATGGGATCTGCACCACGCTCTTGCGCCCCGTGCGCGTCCACAAAATGACGGCCCTGTTTTCATTGCCGTCCTCATCCTCGACGACGCCGGAGATCAGCCCCTGGTCGCCGGCCCTGTAGATCTGACTGCCGTCCGCCCGGTAGCTCGCGCCCGGCTTGACCTTGACCAGGTCGCCGACTTTGAAATCCTTTCAGACGAAGCCAAATCGGGTGAGGATAAATTGAGAATATCTGAGATCCGGCGGCTCTGGAGGATGTCTCGGGCGCCGCGGCCTTCTCAGAGCGTTCCCGAGCGCTCTGAGAGCGTTCTGGAACGCTCTGGAACGGATTTATCCTCGTCCTAGCCCCGTCCGATCCTTGGAGATCTGGACAGCCTCCGACTCGCTGCCTGCCCAGTCCGGCTTCAGCAGGTCCTCCTGCTCGGCGTACCACTGGTCCTGCACAGGAGACGCCCCACGCCTGCTGCTGGCGATGGCCAGGGTTGGTGCCGCCGCGAGCTGGCCTCGCGGGGCGTAGCTCCACACGATGTCGCCGACGATGTTGAACTTCCGGATGGCGTCGTCGGATCCGATGTAGATGTTCATCTCGTCGTCGATGAGGGGGCTGCCGACTGGAATGGTGTTGAATACGCCGGCTGGGTGGTGCCAACTCCAGGAAAGGTTCTCCAGGAGGTCCGTCGCGCCAGAATAGAGCTGCCTGTCGCGGCTGTTGGCGGAGTCAGACCAAAAGAACTTGCCGTCCTGAGACTTCGTCTTCTTGATCGCGTGCCGCTTGTACCGGGTTACACCCGACCTGCTCATCACGCCCAGGGCAGTGTTCGTGACGCCCACGGAGGCTCCATCCAACCTGTCCTCAAGATTCTCGCCATTGGTCAGCTTACCGCTCACGCTGGCGTCCTTTTGGATGCCGATAACAAGAATGGGCAGGAGCTGCAGGATGACCAGGTGGTGTACACCAACGGCAGCCATGGCCGACGGTCAGGTATGCAGAACGGAGTGATCACGAAGCCATGCAAGGAAATGTACAGGCGGAGCGCGATGCTCTGGCGCTCGA